GTAAGCCCCCCACCCAATAAGAGCCAGGGTTGTGGGGAGGCCTGGACAGTTCGGGGCATTTTGATTTGTTTGAAGTAGAGGATGAGTGGTGCTTAGGACGGGGACAGACCCAGAGCAGCAGGAAGGGAAGAACGTGGTGACCTCCCCCTGGGGAGCTGCAGGAGGCATGTATGCAAAACCAATGGGGAGAGGCAGCGGAAGCTCAGGGATCTTATGAGGTGGCTCCCTGTGCAGGGAAGGCAGATGGTGCTGCGGTCATGTGGGCCGAGTTCCAATCCCAGCCCTACCTTAACTTTGCAAATGTGGGGAAGTGACTCAAAGCTTTTCCCAGGGGTTCCCTCACCTCGAGGAGAAGGCAGCACCAAGCACTTCTCATAATGTGTGCGTTCAATGACCGAACACAGGTGTGGGTCGGTCACAGGTAAGGAGTATGTGCTGGGTCCAGGCCCTGTTCAGGTGTCGGATCCAACTATAAACAAGGACGGAAGAGGCCTTGCCCAACAAAGAACTCACGCTCCCTGCGGGGAGCCGAAAATACGCTCGTAAACAAAGAAAATAATTTCCTGGCATGAGGTGCTCATGCAGAAGGGAAAACACCCAGGAAAGTGGTGGTGATAACAATGAAAGCAGCTCGCCGAAACAGGTTTGGCTCAGTGGATAGAGCGTCGTCGGCCTGCGGACTGAAAGGTCCCAGGTTCGATTCCGGTTAAGGGCAGGTACCTTGGTTGCAAACACATCCCCAGGGGGTGTGGGCAGAAGGCAGCTGATCGATGACTCTCTCTCATTGATTTTTCTAACTCTCTATCCCTCTCTCTTCCTCTCTGTAAAAAAAACAATAAAATATATATATATATATATATATATTTAAATTTAAAAAAATGAAAGCAGCTCAAGAATCTGAGCCATCAACTGCAGACCTCAATGAGGTCTCCCTACACTCTCCCGACCTCCCCAACTCAGAAGTCCATAATTTACCCTCAGGCAGCTGGAAGCTGTAAAAGCATCAGAGCAAAGTGCTGACAAGACACAACTACAAAAAAGGCACAGTGACTGCTTCCTGGGATGGCCATGGTTGATGCTGAGTCCTTTCTGCCACAATTAGCACGGTGGTACCACTTTCCACCCGCCTCCACCTCTCATGCCTGCTCCTTCCTCAACAAGGACTAGGGGTCTCCTGGTCACCCATGAGCACCTTTCCCAGACATTCTCACCCCGGCTGCTCAAGAGAAGCAAGACGGCTTGGTTTTATTTCCTCGGCTCATCTTGGCTCTTCCGTGAGTGACCTTGCTAATGAAAACACACACACTGAATAAACACTCGGAGAAGAAACCATCTGCTTATCCTAAAAACGTCAGGAGGAAGCGTGTTTGTTTACCGGCAGGGTCATGAGGACAGGACACACAAAACCTTCTCAGGGACCTTCAGGGGTGAGGATACTGGTGGGGGGAGAGGAGGGGCGTCATTAACCCTTTCAGACCCTCAAGAGTCCGTTGGTTTTATAACCTCTGGTTGGAAGAGGAAGCTGCATATGTCGTAAACCACAGGGTGAGGCTTATTTGCACAGCTTTTTTCCACATAAAGATGATATAATGCCGAGAAAGAACCGACTCTCTATATAGGTCTTGTTTTCGACCTTTCAACTCTGCAGAAGGAAATACCTAAAAAAAAAAAAAAAACAAAAAAAACTGCCCACGTTCAAGAGCTGAGGCAGTTATAAAAACTAACTACGGAGCGGAAAGTCTGAGGCTCACGGCCGAGGCCTCTGAAAAGGTTAAACTCTTAAATAATTTTTAAAGGCTATAAATAGCCAGGGAGGCAATCTTGGAGAGTATTGGTTATCTGTGCCAGGAAATATTTAGGGAATTTGCATTTACAATGACTACTTTGCCCATATTCATGGTGTACAATAAACGTCACAAGAAAAGGTCCAGGAAATTCAATCCCCAAGGGAAAAAAATGGTTCGGAGAAGAATGTTCCCAAAGGGACACTGCAATGACTTCTGGCCGTGTGCCCTGCTCATCTGTGTGGCAAATGTGAGTGAGCAAGGAGAATTCATCCTCTCGGGGCACCCAATCAGAGGAGGGTCACGTGTGGGCCTCGGGAACACTTCCAGGGCCACTGAGCCTTGATAAATTCACAGCATCCAGTTTTGGAGCAAAATTTTTAAAGCAGTTACGGGGAGCTTGTGGGGTCTCTTGCAATCCTGTCACCCTCCTCCATCTCGAGCACAGGGGCTGCAACACCGAGGCAGCCTGCTGCCTTCCAGCTGGCTGTTCCAGTTCTTCAAGAGCATAAGGTAGCAATTGAGAATCAGCTTAGTCAATAAAAATGCTGATATCCGCCTTTCTGCAGGCACTTGTAGAAAACATCTGTTGCCCGCTGGTTGAGAAGGAACATTCTAACCAGACTAGAAAAATAAGAACAAGATATGAATGGGTGCCGAAACCGGTTTGGCTCAGTTGCTAGAGCGTCAGCCTGCGGATTGAAAGGTCCCGGGTTCGATTCCGGTCAAGGCCATGTACCGTGGTTGCAGGCATATCCCCAATGGGGGGCGTGCAAGAGGCAGCTGACCAATAACTCTCTCATCGATGTTTCTAACTCTCTATCCCTCTCTCTTCCTCTCTGTAAAAAATCAATAAAATATATATTTTTTTTAAAAAGATATGAATGGGTGAGGCATGTGAAAAATTAACAATTAATTTTACTTGTGAAATAAACTCATTCCGACCGTCAAGTCAGCAAACACTTAGTGAGCACCTACTACAAAGCAAATGCAACGCTGGGTGCCAGGGATGAGATAAGGTCCCTGCCAAGAAGCCAGCAGTGAGGTGGCAAACGGACATTGATGCCACCAATCATTCTTGTGTTAGGCTCACAGGATGTGTCAAGAGTCGTTCCAAACACTTCAGTTGCATCAACTCCTTTTATTCTCAGACAATAAGGTAGGGTTTATTATTAGCCTTATTTTATGGGTGAAAGTCGAGATACAAAGAGGTTTAGCGCCTGTTCAAGGTGATCAATAGGTTAGTAGGAGAAGCTGGGATTTTAACCCAGGCAGTCAGGCTCCACCCTAATAGGTGAATGAGCAAATGGTCTGAAGGAGTGAAGAAAAAGCCCCAGTCCTCCGCCTCAAGGAGCTGGCATCTGGGTAAAACTGACAGGGCCTTTGCGGGTGCATAGGAGTTTGTGGGTGGGGGGTTGCAGGGTGAAAAAGTTTCCCTCCAGGCAGAGGAGTTACAAATACAAAGCACAGACACCAGAAATTGTCAAATTACATAGTTTTAAAAGGTGAAAACATATTTCTATTCCTATTTCTCAGAGAGCTCCTACAGAATTCCTAAACAGTAGGTAGCTAAGAGTCTTGACATTCTTCGGTGTAGGGAACTGAAGAGCTGCAATTGAACACAGTACAATGCCTCCTGTAGTGTGTGCACACAGCAGCAGCATTTGATCGCTCCCAGGTCCAAACCACATACAGGAACACCATTTAATAGAATGTGATGCTACAGACTTGGGCCCAGAAGTCTTAACAGAACCAAACAGGAAATACTGAAACTAAATACCTCACCAAACCAGTCTGGCAATGCAGAGAAAAAGTTGCAAGGGGGAGGGGCGGCGAGGAGGTAGGCGGGGGAAGCAGGGGCAGGCCGTGCGTTCTAAAAGGCCTAATTCTAACAGGCTAGCAGGTGCGCTCCTCAATTCAGTTTTATAATTTCAGCAGATTAGCAACAGGTTTGTTCACCAAAATACGAAGCTGCTCCCAAGGCCTTGCTAGATATGAATTCCAAAACAAGAACATCAGAAAGACACAAAGGTTGTCTGCGATGTGCAATGACTTAGTGGTTTTACATAGCTATTCTGAGGCTCATCTTTCCCTGAGACGATGAGAATTCACACTCTCTGGACAATATTCTTTGAAATAGATACAAGTTAGTGAATCATGTCACACAAATGATTAAATAATGGGTTACTGACGTGGATACCAAACTTAAATTTCAGCCGCTCTAACCAACAGGAACAATAGATGGATCAGCTCCACTCTAAAAACAGGTTATGTTCCCAAAGTGTGTTTATAAGTTGGCTGTTTGGAATTCTTCCCCCAGCGATGTTAGAGGTGGCGCTTAGTACCCGAGAGAGAACATGGGAACAGAAATCCAAAGCGTGCTGAGAATTCCATGGACTCAGACCCACATTAGGGATAATGGTTCTCGAGGAAAGTGCAGTCCTGGAGATGTGGCCACACACACCGAGCTCTCCGAGCCTGGGAGCAAGAAGGCCTCCATCGGTACATGACTGGCGGGTCCCTCACCGCCAGCAGGAGCTCGTGTATGGAGGAGGCCGGAGAAGGCTGAGGGGGGACAGGGGGCAATGAGGCAGGGACTCTGAGGAAAACTGTGAAAGAGACCAAGGCTGGCGGTTCTTCTCCACCGCCCAGCACCTCAGCTCTGCCCGAGATGCCGGCTCTTCCATTCCAGAGCTGCCACACGGACGGCGTGGGTCAGGGTTTCTCTGCATCCCACCCCCACCCACAAACATGGGCGACAACTTCTGAACGAGAACACTCGTGCAGGGCTCTGACCGTCCTCTTAGGATTTTTCTCACCAGCACCTTAGAGCAGTGGCACGCGCACACACACAGAGAAAGTGCCTGCGATAAGCAAATTAACCGAGATCCAGTCACAAGACCACCGGTTCTCTCCAATTCAAACAGATATAATACATGCACATATATGTATTTGTATCTGGAAAGTCAGTAAAATTCAAGTGACGTGCCCACTGATATCATTATATAGGCAGTTCACGCATAAATTTAAAGATCAGACAGCTCAGAACCACAATGGGTCAGAGGAGAGTGTTGGGGAGGGGGGATGGAGGAAGGAAAGGAAGATGCAGAATACACAACAGCCTCTTCATGATACCTCATGTCACTGAAACATGAGATGAACCTCCCCATGCTGAAGGCTGCTCGCACGCTTGAGTTCAGATACTCCCCGACTTACTGGAACTTCAAACGCCTCCTGGGTGTCATCCAGCATTTGGATTTTGATGGACATGAGTTTTCCGGAAGGTGTTGGAGGCGGCTTCTGTCCATGTTCCAAGGTGCTGATCCCTGAATTCTCTGGGGCCCCCAGTCGCGATCCTGGAGTTGGCTTCTGCTCTATTTCCCCCATGATGAAAGGTCATAAAATATCTGCAGGAAGCAGCGAGAAAGAGAAATACATCAATCAGAGGGGAGACTCACTCATTTACGCCACCTGGTAGGTAACACGTGTCCTCTCCCGCCCTTCATCCTGGGAATTTCCCCAAACCACGCCAGGGTCTCCCCTCTCTGCATAGGAACCCCCCAGGGAGAGGCTTCAGTCCACTGCCTAACGATGTCACCTTATCCACTCAAGGCATGCAAAGAGAGGTGCATGGTTTACTCTTCTGCATATTTTTACATATTTCATCCTTTCCTCTTCTTACGGTAAGCTCTTCATTATTTGTGTCATAAATTCAATTGTGTTCAATATAACCCTAGGCACTACTACTTCTTATACATTCTGAGTCTGGCGGGAAGATAATGAATAGAACCTAAGCCATATCATCAGAATCCATTAAGTACCTTTTACAGACACACTAACATTCTAAATAATGTAAGTATTAAAAGGTAAATAGTCCTGACTGGTTTGGCTCAGTGGATAGAGTATCGGCCTGCTGACTGAAAGATCCCAGGTTCAATTCCGGTCAAGGGCATGTACCTGGGTTGCGGGCACAGCTCCAATAGGGCATGTGCAGGAGCAGCTAATTGATGTTTCTCTCTTATTGATGTTTCTAATTCTCTATCCCTCTCCCTTTCTCTCTGTAAAAAAAATCAATAAAATATATATTTTTTAAAAAGATAAATAGATAAAACATACATTGGGGCTCCCAAACTTATAATCTGGTTGAGAAAATGAAACATACACTCACACAAACACAGGTGAAATAATGTAGGGTCTTTTCTCGTGATTTCTGCTTGTTTCTATAACAATTACCTCCTAATTCATTTCTTTCCTACCTCCCACGTTGCACCCTCTTTTCTAAGCACAGACTAGAGTTTCAAGAGCCGTTTTCCTAAAAACAAAACACAAACTGTCCACTCTTCTCTGGTGCCACAACCCCACTCCTCCTCCTCTCTTGCCCGTCTCGCTCCAGGCCATCGTACGGGTAGCTCTCTCTGGCTGAATGCTTGGCACTCATTCTCCACCTGGAAGCTTCTACCATTGCTTTAACCTTCAGTTCAAACGCCTCATCCCTGACACTTGGGCCAAGCTCAGGTGGTACTGCTGCTCTTGCTCACGACCAGCAAGCTTCTTCCGCTGGGCAGTCAATTCCACCATCATGTCCCTGTTTACTTCTCCCATGACATTATAACCCTAAAGCGGAAACCAAACCTTGAATATTCTTGGGGCCTCAGCACCCTCCCAGGCACACTGCCTGGCACAGAGCGGAGCTCAATAATGGCTGCCTGATGACTGGACCAATCAGCCAGCACCGTGGTCGGCAAACTGCGGCTCCTGAGCCACATGTGGCTCTTTGGCCCTCTGAGCCACATGTGGCTCTTTGGCCCCTCAAGAGCCCTTGAATGTGGCTCTTCCACAAAATACCATGGCCTGGGCTCATCTGTTTTGAAGAAGTGGCGTTAGAAGAAGTTTAAGTTTTAAAAATTTGGCTCTCAAAAGAAATTTCAACCGCTGTACTATATTGATATTTGGCTCTGTTGACTAATGAGTTTGCCAACCACTGTGCCAGCACATTTATACCACAGCCAATATCGTAAGTGTGACCGAGCACAAAGAAATGAGGCTTCAATGTGAGATGAAGTGGTGTTGATTTTTAAAGGGATGTGAGGGCTTCCATCAAAGAGAAGGTAGGGATTCAATTCAATTTAGTCTCCGACGTTGGGTAATACTTGAAAAGAAACAGAAATCCTAGAGCACAAGGAGAAGGCATGCCAGGAATGCCAACGGCACCACGAGGCCAGGGGACAGATTTACGACGACATATGGGAAGAAGAGTGAGAATTAATGCTGAAGAGTTAAAGACGCCTTTGGAAAATAGGTTGGAATCAGACTATAACGAACCTCAAATGCCTCGTGGAGAAATATGGTCTTTACGCTGCGGGTGGAAGGGAGCCACTGGGGTAGGAATAATAACACAACAGTAGAACTTCTGAAAAATGAATCTGAAAATAATATAGACTAAGAAGTGCAAACAGAGAGATGGATGGCAGGGGCCGGGGGGTGTCCAGTTTCAAAGCTCCTGCAACAATTTGCGCTTCACGGGATAACTTGGACAAGCGGCATTGGGAATGAAAAGGTGATTGTGTAAAACCCACTTCTGTGGAAAAATGAACCTGTGATCGGTTAGCTGCTGAGGGCAGATAAAAAGTATAAGAATGATCAGAAAGTTTGACATCAGGACAGAGGGGAGGAAGCAGGCGAGGGGGAATGAGTTTGATCAGGGATGCTGTTTCGGGTTATAACAGGACATACAGTGGGCTGGGGGGAAGGTGGAGCCGTGAACTGTGGGTCCAGGGTCTGTCTTGTACCAGTGAAAGTGAAGGCAAGTGCAGGGGACAGAAACAAAAAAGCAAAAATAACAAACATGCCCAGTCAAGAGGCCTGTTATTTGCTGAATTGTGTTCTCCCGTCCCTAAATGTATGTTGAAGCCCTAACCCCCAGTATATCAGAATGTGACTGTACTGGGGAAAAGGTTCTTAAAAAAACTTTAGTTAAAACAAGGCCATTAAGATGGACTGTAATCCAATCTGACTGTGGTCCTTTTAAGAAAAGGAAATTTGCACAAAGAGACACTGGGAATACGGGAAGACGGAGGAGAGACCATGTGAGGACACGGCCAGAAGGCGGACGCGTGCAAGACAAGGAAAGAGGCCTCAGGAGGAACCAATCCCGCTGACACCCTGACCTGAGACTTCCAGCCTCCAGAACGGCGAGAAAATAAATTCCTGTTAAGACACCCAAGTCTGTGGTACTTTGAGACAGCAGCTCTAGCAAACATGTACAGGGGTCTGTGGAGAAGACGTAAAAGAAGCAAAGACCCAGTGACCCCCTGTGACAAAGAAAGCCAGGGAAGGGGCACCAAGAAGTCACGTGTGGTGGCAGGTACAGAGCAGAGTGCTGTGTTACTCGAACATCTGAAAATGAGTCTCCCTGCAGCAAGTTTCTCCAAGAAAAACCATTCGGTTTGTAGTGTTAGCTGTAGATTCTTCCTGCCCAACTCACTCCTTCTCCTGAAGAGTCAAGTTTCCCCACCAAATTCCACATGGAAACACCTCCCTCCCTCTCAGCAAAATCTCTAACGTTCTCACCAAGACACGAGGGCTGGCCCCAAGGTCAGCAGATCAAAAACAATGGAGTCACCTCAGACCACGTAGGTCCTTAACTCCAACAACCCTGAACTAAAAAGACATGTCATTTCATCTGGCAGGAAACGGATTGCCACCTACAAGATAGTCTTTTTTATTTATTTTTTTATTTTATTGATTTTTTACAGAGAGGAAGAGAGAGGGACAGAATTAGAAACATCCATGAGAGAGAATCATTGATCAGCTGCCCAATCACTGGGGATGCGCCCACAACCAAGGTACATGCCCTTGACCCGAATCGATCCTGGGACCTTTCAGTCCGCAGACCTGAATGTATACCACCTATCCAAGCTCTATCCACTGAGCCAAACCGGTTTTGGCAAGAAGAAGACAGTCTTTACTTCTTACTTCCTCCACACACACTTTCCTTACCAACTTTCCACCACAGCCTGGAAGCAGTCATCATTTGTTCTTATGCAAGCCTTTAAGACTGGAGTTCTACAAGGCAATGCTAGTTAGTTAAGGACTGGCCTTTCTGAGAATGGCTCCTGCTTTTTTTAATGCCCATCTATGATTTCACAGATCTGCTATGTAAGTACCTTTCTAATTTCTGCCCCAAATAAGATTGATTTTTTTTTTTTTTTAAGAACCTACTTCTAATCTGTTTGGCTGTGTGATATGTGCTCTGCTTAATTCATCTATCAGTCTTGAGAGATGTGACTAGACCTTGCTTATTTATAATTAGAGGCCCGGTGCACAAAATTTGTACACGGGAGTGGGGTGTCCCTCAGCCCATCCTGCACCCTTTCCAATCTAGGACCCCTCAGTGAATGTCCGACTGCCGGTTTAAGGGATTGTGCTTAAACGGGCAGTCAGACATCCCTCTCACAATCCAGGACTGCTGGCTCCCAACTGCTCACCTGCCTGCCTTCCTGATTGCCCCTAACTGCTTCTGCCTCCCAGCCTGATCACCCCCTAACCACTCCCCTGCCAGCCTGACTGCTCCCTGGCCAGCCTCATTGCCCCTAACTGCTTTCCCCTGCTGGTCTGGTCCCCCACAAATGCCTTCTCCTACAGGCCTGGTACCCCGCAACTTCCCTCCCCTGCAGACCTTGGTTCCCCCCCAAATGCCCTACCCTGCAGGCTTGATCACCCCCCAACTGCCCCTCCCTGCTGGCCATCTTTGGCAGCATCTTGTATCCACATGGGGGCAGCCATCTTGTGTGTTGCAGTGGCAGTCAATTTGCATATTACTCTTTTATTAGATAGAAGAATTAGATAGGATGCCTAGCATAGTGTCCTACAACAAAATGAAAAAATAAAGAAGTTCATCTGTATTTGCTCAATAAATCAAATCTGGGTGGTATACATTTAATTAAATGTGAGATCATTTGTGTTTAAAATAATCTCCAAAAAACAGGAGAAATTACTTCCCTGTATGTTTCCTGTTGGTTGTCTTGTGGTTAAAAATAAATCACCTCCAAAGAAAACTATGACATCAGTGCAGTTGCCTCCCTCCTTCCCAGCCATTCTTTGCACTTCTCCTTACTTTGGTGTTGACCACTCCCTACCTTTCTAAGCATCCTGCCCTATACACCAGCAGAATGAGCAGGCCCTGATGTAGCCACTTTGCCTCCCACAGCTCTGGGTCAGAGAGATGTGGGTCTGACTGTGGCTCTAACTCCCATCCAGAGAGCTGATGGAAGGGCCTCTTCTCCCATCTCTAAGGTGCCAGGGCCCTTCCCTACAAATGCTTTTTTTCTGTTCTACTCAAGCAAAGAGCAAGGCCCTTCAGCCCCTAAACTAGTGGTCGGCAAACC